AAGAGTGTTTGTGTTTTAACTATCAAAGCAAAGACAGCATATTTAAGAAGTGTTGCTTACTGTATGGATGCTGTGGTTGAAACAGATCTCTATATCATAGAAGTTTCCATCATGGCTAACTGGCAACGTTGTCCCGGCCCATTGTTGTTCCTTCATTTTGGACCAATGAAACACATTACCCCCTAAATGACTGAGCAAAGAAACCTTGAGGACGTAGCAACCTTTGGGTACTTTGTCTCTGACACCTCGTAGGCATTTTAATTGGATTTCAATGGGCTGAGGTGCTTTGGACCAGTCAACCTAAGGAGAAGGCTCTAGGTTACTGAATGAGGAAGGAAGCAAGAGTTTAACTATACAATTAGCAAGAGCAAATTCCTCAAAAAGCCACCATCAAAAAGTAGACAATTATTTTTGTTGAACTTGCAATTATCCATCATTAAGCAATGATAATAGAAGAAGACACAGGATTTGTAATTAGAGAGGTCAAAAGGCAAACATGTAGATTGCAGTGAAAATAGAAAAAACAAGCATTTTTTAAAGCATGCTGTGCTAATGGAGTGTGACACCAGAAACCATCAGTCTGCAATAATAAGGCAGAGTTTGCAGGAAATCGACACCTATGAAAAATATAGTGTGCCTTTTAAGACATCTATGATAGGTGTACATGATGATCAAGGCTAGAGGCACATAGTAAGAAACATGGCAGTCAATGTTTTTATATTAATTATTAACCTTGCTAAGGCTATTAGTGCTGTACAATGTTATACACCTTCTTATCATAAAACAGAAACTCTTAAAAATAGTAATCAAAGTACAAGACATGTAGAGTTAATAACAACTCCCCACAGGGACCTTTCTTCCAGGTCCAGACAAAAGGAAACAGCTGCTACTTGTTCTTGACAAAATGTTCTTTGAGTTACAGAATGCTGAGGAGGAGGGACAATTTTCACTCTGTATTTGAAATGCCCTTCCAATAATTATTGTAGAATTTCAGTTTATAGCATAGATACTGGCAGAGTGGAATAGACACGGGGTCCTAAGAATCACACGATCCTTAAAAGTCTTACCTGAATGAAGATGCAGAATCAGAACCAGGGTGGTGTATTCATTCTACCACCTCAGTAAATATTTCAGTTTTGCCTCAGTAAAACTTGCAGAATTAGGCGTATAATTGGTGTTTCAGTTTGGCCTTTATACGTTAAGGCAATAAAAGCATTTCTAGTATAATTAAAAATGTATAACTACTAATCAGATATGTTGAGGTTTTCTGTTAATTTAGTGTGATGCAGAAATCCATAGCATATTTTACAATGAAGTGGCTACCTTGACTACTAGATTTAGTAGTCTCTGAGTATAAGCCTACAGTTGCTAATAATCTCTTCTTTAATCCTGCCTTGGATTTATTTTGGAAGAGATAGCATATTTCCATATAGATAGAAAGCTTCTGGAATTAAATTAGCAGTTAAATAAACAGTTGAAGTTGTTAAACTTCTTTTGTTTTCCAATACAAACCATACTTAACAACTAATCTGAATGACAATTATTTTCAGTTTAATTAGAAAATCTTAATTAACAATGAAGATTTAACCTTAATATTTTTTGGTTTCTGAATCATATATAAAAAAATTAACATCATGTGAATAAATAAGACAATCTTTTTAAACCTCAAGGCAGGATTACTGATGCAGGCAGACTTAGTTATTAAACACATTCTAAATTAAACACCTCTCTGAATTTTATACTGAAATATATTTTGATAGTTTTGCATGCCAAATGTGACATTTTGTATTTTAGATTCATCTTCTGTAGTAATTTTGGAAATGTCATACAAACAAAGATTTTGTCATTTACCAATGGAATTACTATGCATGGCCGGTTAGCCATCTCTTTTCTGGCTCTTCTGGTTGTTTCAAGTCAGCAAGCCATAAAAAATCTTTATCTCTCTGAAACACAGCAATTTGGAAGATAATCGAATAGTGACTGGGGGGCAGAAACGCCAGTCTGAGGAATTATACCACAATCTCTCTTGCATTTACAACCTTCCTCAAAGCGAGCGTCAGTGGAGTAGGAAAAGGAGATAGAAGATTCATCATATCTCAAGTCCGTCTCATTTGCATGGTGGCATAGCTGGCTCATCTCCTATTGAAATACTTTACTTGGCCAGTGTTGACAAACCGTTTTGAAGAACTCTGCCCATGCCCAAATGATTCACAGTTAGTAGTTTAGACATTCTATTCATGCTTTCCAGCAGAAGTAACTGTATACTTGTTTTTAAACCTGCTAAATCCTGCCCTCTAAAATTATGAAAAGGGAAAAAAAAACTCATGCGAGAGAGTCAATACAACTGATCTAGTCATTTAGCAATTTACATCAGGAAAAAGAGCACTCATGGAGAGACACACCTTCCAGCAAAATCCTGCTGTTCCATTTGATTCATTATTCACTTCTGCAAGGTTACCAAACTTGGCTACAATTTCCTCTTTGCAGGCACTCAGTGCTGTTTTCAATGGCTGACTTTCCACTCTGCATCAGTTCCAAGGGAGGGGAAAAAAATAAAAAGAAACTGATTGTAACACATAAGTGAAAAGTGTTTGCCTTTGGAACTACATCACAATTTGATGTTTTCCTTAAATATATTATAAGCCTTGCAGGGACCAAAGGAGAACAAGCATATTCAATGCAAAGGAATGGCTTGCTTAGGCATAAGAAAAATGCAGTTCCATTTTTAATGGCACAACTAAGATTTGTCAGTCTGTATCATGGGCTGACATCAAAGAATGTAGAGTTTCCTTCCTAAAATATGAACATAAATAATGTACTCTCATTGTATAGGAACTTGTGCTAAGGCTGAAGTTATATATTACCAATAATAAAATAAAACACTACTAATACTTCGAGAGCCAAATCCTCAACTAAAATAAATTGGAAAATCTTAAGGCTGTAGTCCTTTTTGTTTGCAGTATAGATTGTACACACATATGCATGAACATGTGTATGTACCCAGACAATAATCCTTGGGGATTATCATTTCTTCTCTACCATCTTTTTCATTATTCAAAGAACATTTTTTTAAAATGGGGTTCTGCTTCTGGGGTCAAATGAGCCACCAGCAGGAACTCCAGTGCTCTGTCTAAGAACAGATTGGCACTGACAGAAATGATCCACTCCAGAGAAGCACTGAGAGACATTCTACTTTGTGAAGAAAATAGGCCATCCTAGTATATAGGGGGAGTGGACACACAGGCTGGCTGTTTCATATGATACTATATATTCCTCCTTCTTGTGCAGAGCAGAAGCTCTGGAGGTGGAGCTAGAACTGCATTCACCTTTTTTGCACTACCAGGAAGTAGTAAGGAAGGGGCTCCTGCATTTCTGTAACTGCAATTCTGTCAGTCTCCTATGCAGGCCACAGAAGGCTGGGAGACTCCTTTCTGTGCACCTACATAACAGCATTATATTAATGGAACGCCATGAAGCAACAAAACTTGCCTAGGCTGTTCCCCTCGATAATCCTCTTTTCTAATCAGAAATGTAACTGGGCAGTTTTGTGCACTGGGCAGAAGCACTGCACAGAGCAATGGAGGTGGCGGAGCCAGGAGTAGTGTCTGCTACCTTCTTTTTGCTTTCCCCCGCCCCTCCAAAGTAGGCACCTGGGGCTGACGCCTCTCCTGCCCTTAGTTATGCTACTGCTTCTAATTTACTCTGACAGGTCTCTCAGTATAAGACATAATTCAGTGTTCTCACTCATGGGCAACTGGTGCCTCCCGAGTCTGGCGGGGCACCAGCAGGGCACAACTAGGGAAGAATTCACCAGCGGACAGTCGGCAATGGGAGGGTGGGGGGGAGAATCTCTCAGCAGACAGTGCTAGCACTTCTGCTGCTGGCAGAGCCAGTTTCGGGGGGGCCCACTAGTGCTTTGTGCCCCCCCCACCAGCTGGAGCACTCACTGTCAGAGGAGGCACCAGTGCGCTCAAGGGGAGCACATGCCCCTGCCCCAGTTGTCCCTCCTATGGGTTGCCTATGTTCTCACTCATGTTTCATGTACTGCATGGTGGGTATTAACATGAGAGGACCCTGTGTTTGTAAAAGTAAACTGACTCTGTTAAGAGAACTCTTAATAGAGAGGTTGCCACTACAGTTGCTATTGTAACTATGTATTTGGGTGTACATAGTTACAATAGCAACTGTAGTGGCAGGCCCTATACTAGTAAACTAGGGCCTCCTCCAAAGTCTTTCTTGCTGCATCCTGCACTGCTCCTTCCAAGTTCTAATCAAACTGGTAGAACTCAGTGGGTGTGTCTACACATGCATATTAATGCAATACAAAAAACTTGGGCGCATTTTGCAACAGAGTTTATTGCTCCCAGACACCACATCTACATGTGTGCCTAGGACCAGCACGTTGAACTGGGTCAGTGCAGCTCTGGCTGGCAAAGGGCCCAGGGGATCAGCAAGCAGGCAGCCCCTGCATTGAAGCACCCTCAAGCCCCAGCCAGCCACATCTGTGTCTACACATGCAGTGCTGCAGGGTAAAATACTCCACAGCAGGGTAGTACTTATATTTACAAGTACAACCCTTCTGCAGAGTTTATTAGTTTACTCCAGCCTAATAGCCTTGCCCATGTAGATGCCAAGATGTTTACTGCAGATTGAATTAGTCAGCTCTGCAGTAAACTTCTCATATACAGGTACCCAGTTTCTACTTAGGCCTTGCACATACAAAGTTCTTGGACAGGTTAGAAACTGATATAATTACATCAAAATAATCATTAGCTTGGACCCAATTAAAATGCGCCTAAGAGTGGCTTAAAACTGGCTCATATTAGTAGAGGTTATCATTGTCTCTTTAAGAAAGATAGTTTGATCAGTACAAAACCTCAGTGTATACTAGCATTTAATCTTTTATTCAGAAAACTCCAAATGATATCCATGGAAACTCCATCCTAGTAAGGGATAAGCAGAGGGTCAGATTATACACCTGTTATGATAAGCAATATTTACTCACATAAGTAACCCCATTGACACCAATGAGAATGGGACAGCATAAGCAAATGCTACTCAGTGGGCGTGTCTACATGAGCGCCCAACTGTTCAGATGCTTTAGCAAGTACTAACTGACTGCACAGTAACTGCCAGTACTGTGCAGTCCCAGCGGTGCACGAGTCATTTCCGACCCTACTGCACAGTAGCAATGAGGTACTGCACAGTAGTTTATTGCTACTGTGAAGCAATGTCAGCATCATGGTTCATGCCCGCCGAAGCTATATTGCTGTAGCTACGAGCCAGTCGCTGTAGCATCTCGTGTAGATGCACCTACTAAGAGGTTCTAAGAGATTACAGACTTGGAGATTTCCTTTAACTGCAGTCAGGTCAGCTTTGGCCTAATTTTCCAAACTGGAGCAAAGGCAAGTTGGTGCTTGAATTTTATTAGCTTATTCTTCCAGCAAAAACATCTGAAAAGTTAACTTTTCTTCCCCAAGAAGAATGGCCTGTTTGGAACTTTGCACTTATTTAGTTGCTCATGATGGAAATTATTTCACTTAATTTGGTTAGAGCTACATTGACACAGGGGTTCATTAGGACACCCATTTGCTAGCAATTCAATTTAAAATTAAATACACTTTGTTGTTGATTTTATTACTTTTAAACTACTGTATCTATTGCCTTTATTAGCTGCTAATACACAATTATGAAGGTAAACAGTTTTCATTACTGAACATCAAACATTTAAATAACCACATTTGATCTCTTTTAGTGCTAAAACATTTTTCTCCTTGTTTCTCTAACATAGCTGGATATTGGAGCCTAGTGAATAATTTACTCGATGAATTTAGGCCTTTTTTTTTTTTTTTTGCTCATAAGTTGTCATGAATAGATCACAATTTCCTCAGATAGGTATGTTTTGTTTTGTTTAAAATTTTCCTCTCTGATTTTTGTGCACACTATTTAATATATTTATTGAAAGTTTATGCATTAACCTTGAACACTGTGTTGCAATTATTCTATTCTATGACTGCATGAAAGTAATTCATAATCAGGGGTGGGAGGTGATGAAAGAAGCCACTGGGGCTTTAAATCTCTCAGGAAGAGGTAGCAACTAAGCAAGATAAGGGAGTATTTAGAAAGCTAATTTAAGCTGTTCATTTCCAGAATACATAGGTTTGCCTGGAGAGTTATTCATAGGGGAAAAAATCTCTAACATTTATTAACTAAGTGCAGATCAGTCTCATGTCCCATTTGCCCAAACAGCAGCATGCTCAGCCTTAGTTGCAAAGGGTGCTTATGTCCATTATCTGGCCTAGTTCACTGCCACTGTGCCAGTGATCTGGCAGGAGTTTCTGCAAGCTCTACATTCCTTCTGTGTCAGACAGACACTGTGATTATGCCTGGTCACTGCAGAGGAACAATAAAGCCTGGAATTTTCCTCATACCTCCAATGATTTTGCACTTAGTTAAGTACAAGTCAGAGTCTATCCCTAAGTTTAAAAAAAATAGATAAAAAATTAACTATCCATGCAATAACATGAAATATTATGCTCTATGGACAGCAAGTTTCTAAAGCTAACTTACAAAACACATTTTGCTATTTTAAGGATTTCTTCAGGAGTGGGGCAGGGGAGGGGAAGAAATGTTAGTCAGTGCAAATGTGTTCACATACTAAAGAGAATTTGAGGAATTCAAGATGAACATTAAGTTTCAGAATAAAACAATAATACAAAATAGCCTTACTGCTAAACTATAGGATCTGAATCTATTGGGTTGCTATTTTCATGAAGTTGCTGTAATGATCTTTGGCCATCCTGAAGACAAAACTTCTGAAGGGACTTCTGAGTAGGAGTACCTCTTTTTTACTGAAATTCTTTCAGCCTGCTGGTTTTTGGGGTGGTTCTTTATTTTGTTCCTTGTAATTATAGGCAAGGTTTTGAAATGGTGATTTGGGGAATTTCTTCAGGTAATGTCTGCCGGCCATTAGCAGGAACTGGACTCAGTAGCTCTGGAGCTACCTTTCAGTCCTATGTTCCTCTGAGTTTTGCAAGAGCTAGGGCCCATGACTGGTAATGAAAGGCAGCAGGAACTGCGAGTGCATGTCACTTCTAAAAATCAGGCTCCAAATGTCCCAAGCTGGGTAACTAAAAACAGGCATTGCCAATCAGAGGCTTTTGAAAATATAGGTCTTAATTCTTCTCTGCCTCATTTTCCCCATTTGCAAACTGAAGGCAGCCCTACTTCCTGACTTGTAAAGTCTAATTTGTTATCACATGGAAAGCATAATCTTTGGATGGAAGGTGCAACAGAAATGCAAAATATTTTTTCTGCTACTTACCTCTGAAAAGCTGTATGGAACTTGTTGTGCAATATTTTCTTCTTGTGAGAAAGAACTTCCTTTTGGTGCTTTAAATCCTACAGGCAAGAAAATATATCTATTTTTAATATTATCTTCTCAAAAGTGCATTTGTAAAAGCTGGAGTTAATACCATTTTGCAAAGGTTTGCCTCAGATATTATGGCCAAAATTTTTCAGAGTAACTAAGAATTTCAGTCACACAGTTGCCATTATCTGCAATGCCTGTACCGAACGTCTTTTTGCCATGCTTATCTTATACTTAAGTATTATATTCTTGCTAATTTCTTGTTTATCACAGACCACTGAAGAGATCTCTGCTTTCTCCTTCTTTAAATCCATACCAAGTCTTGAGGCCCTTTATTATGTAGCTGATATTAAATGTCCTGTAAAAGAAGCTGGGGCGCATGTTGCATGGTGTGGGAGCTTACTTTTATGAGCATTCATCTTTCCAAGCAATTCACTATTACAGAGTTTGAGGACTTGGAGTTATTTTGTCCTTATACTGGCAAAATATATGCTGGAAAAGTCATTATTCTATGGAGCCAGCATCCATGGCATTCTCAACTGTAGGGGTAGGACATCGGTACAGTGGGATGGGAGTTCAAAGGAATGCAGTTTTGGACTTAGACAGCAGCAGAAGTAGGACAGGAATAAGGAGCCTAAGGGTGCAGACAGAAGTAACAATTTTTGCCTGATCTGGCCCCTAAAAGCACTCTACAGCCACGACCAAACAGCTGTAGTGCTTTAAAAGGGCCTGATTCCACAAAAATCTGAACCCACACAGTATGAGGGTTAGATGAAGTTGTTTCAAAACATAGTGTATTCAATAACTTCTGTCTGCACTGCCTCCCAGCCTTGAACTGTTTTCAGAATGGGAAGGGGAAAGGGAGCAGAGGGAGCTGGATTCCCAAGCCCCGTTTTCCCCCCTGGATCCAACATTGAAGTTCTGTTTGGTCTGGGGGATCGCTGAAACTCAGAACACTTTCTGCAAAGTGGTCTGAATTACAGTGGGGAGCCGCACTTCTGTCCGTGCCCTAAACCTCTTTGTGGATCTGGCCCTTAGTGCTGATGTAGGCAAAAGTTTCCCTGCCCCGAACTGTTTGTGAGAACAACCCACTTGAACCTATTCAGCGTGCACCAAAGCCAAGAAATCAGGAAGGTTTAGTGTGGGCCTGAGCATCACTACCCCATCCCAAGGCTGTGCTCAGTCTTTGCCTTGCGTGTGCTTCTTGCCATGTGCTCAGGGAAGCACTAAATGAGACATACTGCCTAATTTGAAGGCTTTGTGTGGGCTGAGCAGAAGTGGACAATACGCTGCCTGGCGGTAACTCCTAGGATTGCCACCCAGACAGGATAGGCATACCTATATATTTTGAGAAATGGGATGAAACCCTTAAACTCATTTCACACAAGACATCAGATAACCATAAGATTAGAACAATTTTCAAACACTACCAGTCTGGGTTTAAATTGAAGTAAAACATTCTATATAACATTACCAATCTCCCTGAAGTATCAAATTCCCATGTTTATCTTTCTAAGCTTAATTAAATAATGAATATTCAGAAAGAAGTCTGGGTTACATACACGAACTGCACTGTGTTTTCTGTCTCTCTGTGGCTGAAATGGCAATGGGAGTACAAGTTAGAAGCATTTCTTCTTGATCTCAGTAAAATATTTGTCACAGTGTGTCAGGATAATTTTTTAAAAGCTCTATCATCTACCTAATAAATTTGTTAAGTTTATTCAAATCTTATTGAACAGGAAAATGGCAATGAGTCATGGTTAATATTTCTTTACCTATGCTAGGAAATAAAATATATATCAAAGATTCAGTGCTTAGGGTCCTATTCAGAAAACCTCTGTGAGTCTGTAATACATCTTCTACATGATAAAACACAGGAAACTTGCTTTAAAAATGAATTATTCACCACCTTGTATAAATTTCCATCTTTCCTATTTGCAAAACCCCAAAGTCAGTTATGTAAATTTTAACCTACGCTAATTACCTCAAGGGTGTGCAAGCAAAGGGAAGGTAAAGGCAGTAGAAAAATAGACCTTTCCATCACCAGAACACAGTTTACTGTAAGAATTTTTTTTTTAAATCAAGGAAAAAATTGGTACATTTTCAAAAAATAAAGCTTCCCCAATGATTTTTTTCTAAATGTGGGATAATCATTGTTGCAATATTCTTTGAATCTCAGAATTACTGGCCCAGTTCCAATAATTTTTTTCCCAATGGTATACTACTATTACATGTCTACCTAAAGTGCTCATTTCTCATTGCAAATCCAGCATTGTCTAGACTACAAAAATTACCCTCTGATGACAAAGGGTGTCAGCAATGAACATAGCTATAGCAATGTAGAATGTGGTTTTGCTCCAAGCACAGGCAGCAACATCCAATATAATTTCAGATGTGGTTTAAATTTGATAATCAACAGATAACCTCTATAGCATACATGAGGTTTACCCAGCAATTGTATAGTAGTTTGATCACACAACAACTCAGTCTAGTTCCAATACTGACTGCTTCTTTACCCTTGTCCAAGTTACTTAATTTTCATCAGTTACCTGATATGTAAGATAAGGATTTGCAATACTTATGAGGTCTACTTTGAAGAATAATTAGACAAAGGAACAGTCTATTGATTTCAGAGGAAGCAGGACTTAAACTACAGAAAATTTTCAATGTAGGCTATCGCTATAATACTGCAATAGTAATCACTGTCATTGCATGGGAACAAAAAAAGAATTTTTCATAATACATTGATTAATGTTGGTTGATTTTTTTTCACTAAAAAATTCTTTCAACAAAAATGGCTTTTTAATCCTTATGAACGTTTCCATTTTTTTTTAGAGAAACAAAAATTAAGCTTGTTTTACTTGAAAAAGTGCAGATAAGAGTCTCAAAAACTTATTTTCCATTTCACTTGATCTTTTAAAAAAGATATCACTTTTGACATACCATATTAATAGCATAAAAGCACATTTCTGTTACTGCAGTTTCCCCACTGCATTTCAAGATAGTCTCGTTTTAAAAGTCCAGCATGTAATGAAATAGAACTCAAGAAGGGTGACTATATGGGTTCACCACCCAAACCTTATAAATGCACAAGATAGGAGGAGCAGTAATGGAGACTATATCAGACTTCAGCCTGAGGTAGCACTACTGATCTGCAGATGGCAGAAAGGGGGAAGATCCCACACAAAGAACATCTGATTCTCAACCTACACTCTCAATCTGATTCTTAATTTACATCAGTGCAGTGATCATAAGACAATACCAGATCAGAGCAGTGGCATATTACACCCACTGTCTCAACATCAACATCACACCAACTTTTTATTATAATGGCTCTCATCCGCGCTGTGGAGCTTAAACCACCAATATACCACTGTTGCTTCTGGCACGATTACTTTCAGTACCAAGTCTTTTGTTCCATGATACTGGTCCATCTCATGACTCACTGAATACATGTAGTCTCATAGCTGAGTTCAAGGCTTGTAATGAAAATTGAACTGACGTTGCATAATGTTTTGTGTTGTGATTTAGGTTCAGCTTTGCCCTTTGTTAGCTACAAAACAGTTTCATAAGTTTACATCACAAAGAAGAATAAAGCATAATATTATGCATTGTACAGTCTACCAAAATGTGCTACAATTTTGCCATACAATCTCCCTGTCCATGGAAAAGAAAAAGGCTTTCTTTCCAAAGAGGAAGATATTTCCTGTATTTGAATGTAAAAATCACATTTCTGAATAGTTTAGCCATCCTTAACTGTGACAAGAACATTTTTGAAAAATTAAATACTCTCTTTGTTTTAAAATGTATATATAACAAAACATGAACTGAGTTTTACTATAGTGATACTGTATTTTTCTCAGTGAGTAACAGAAACTTTTAATGGCAAAGTTGCTCATTGTAATAGTTTTGCAAAGCTTAGCATTGTCCCGAGTAAATGACCCTTTTCTATAAAATGGATAATTAGCTGCTAATTAAACACTGTAAGGCCTACTATTGAATTTGGTATATTAGAAATGCCTATCATGAAAAACTTAATTCACAGTATTGCTTTACAGATTTTTTAGAAATCAGAGCTGATGAAGCATATAATTTCAATGCCACTCTGAACTTCCCTTAAGTTCAGGATTGTTTTGTTGTTGGTTAAGAGCATAGTATGATCATAGCTTGAACAGATTAGGTAGACAGGTCATCTTGCTATTCATTCAAGAACAGGGAGAGCACTAGAAGAAATTCAGTTACATCTACTCTGGGGTCACCCAAGCATTCAAAGAAATATTTTGCGACTATAGGCTCCCACTCCAAGAATCTGCTTTCTTAGTCCTATTATCCTGTGTACTATAAAGAGAATACCCTTAGTGTCTTCAGACCTGTCAGACATCACCTCCAACTCTTCTTATTCATGGGCCTGGGCTCCACTTTGTCCTGTTATACCCCATATCTCTCATGCTCAGCACCATTCAGTTGTGCCCCAAGCCCCATTAGACCCCACCATCCCCCTCACACCCCATTGAATTCTACCCTACCCACTCACTTCCACCACGAACACACTGCACCCTGCACAGCCTCCTCCCCAGTGTCACAACCCAAAGTTGTGTTTTTTTTTATTTGAGTGTGCTTCGGCATCGCTAAATCATGTTCCCACCAAATTGCAGCTCTTTTGCACGGTGGAGTGTTCTGCTGCAACAGAGAACCCGTGTGCAGGAGCTTTTCCCACCAGTTCTGTAGCTTTCTTTGCATAGTGCATTTCTTTTGCATTATAGCAATGCGCGATGCAAGGAGTCACTGCCATTTGTATTAGGATTCGCGCCACATTATTGGCCAGTCTTAATGTAAGCACACGTGGCGGCTAGCTATTGGCTTGCTAGCCGTACAAAAGGCTTGGGTGGTTTCCACCCAAATCGGAAGGAGAGAGAAAGGAAGCACGTGGAGTTTGGGAAAGGAGCGTGAGGATCTCTAAGCGCTGCTGATCCATACAAACCCAGCTTTTCCTTAAGAAGGCAACAGAGGTTTAATTTATTAAATTTAGACT